ATCGGGGAAACTAAAAAGAGAAAAATAAAAGCTATAAGCTGCGTGTCACTGATAAACAAGAATTGACTTCAATAAATAATATATTATCAAACAAGGGGAACCTTTTCAAACAAATTACGTTTGATATCACAGTTCTACTTTGAGTTTAATAAATTAATTGAAATATATATAAAATGAACATTATTTCTTAAGTCCCTTTTAAATTATATAATATTATCTAAGAACACATTTTTAGGGAGGAATCATTGGTTTGAAACGTTTTATCTGGTCTCTTTTAAACCAATTTCACAGGCAGTTTGGCCCAATATCTTCAACGCGAGACTCTGGTAAAAACACTTCGACATCAATTCATAAAGCGACTATTTATTGCAGATCAAAAATGTACGGGCTCTTATTGGAAAACCTCTCAGAGTATATAAAAAAAATGTATGGTGAAGACAGATGGGAAGAGATACGGCGAATGGCCAATGTGGATCAACCCAGTTTTAGTGTACATCAAGTCTATTGTGAAACGCTTATTCCACGGCTAGCAAAAAAATCCCAACAAGTATTATTCACATTTAACTATATTTATAACAATTTTTCACGTTAATGTATTTAATATAGGTAATACATTTGTATAAACTCGCATTTTATATGTGTTTAAGGTACTTGGAATTACAGAGAAAGAATTTTTTGAACAAATGGGAGTTCATTTTGTCAGTTTTGTTGGCCAATACGGCTATGATCGAGTACTATCGGTATTGGGGCGGCACATGAGAGACTTTCTAAATGGTATGAAATCAATTTTAATTACAGAAATGTATTATTATTTAATCTCATTTAAAGCAATTTTCATTGAATTTTTGCTACTTAATTTTTAACATTGAACCAAACATATTTTTGTAATTATTTTTTAACAATGGATGTATAATCTGAATTTCACGATAACGGTTATTTATAGAACTAGTATATTACCTATAACGATTAACAAGTTTCATTCATACGCTTATTCGTGACTTGAATCAATAATGCACGTTTGACCTTAAAATATATACGTTCCTGTACACATGTTGAAACCCTACCTTCTCTATATTATGCACTTAAAAATAAACTATCATTGTTTATAGAATACTATTGATTTTTATTAATGAAAAAAAAATAAGGTTTCATATCATTTATTAATCTGTGCACAACGATATTATTATAACATTTTGTCGATGGTATTATAGTATCATTATAAGAAAATAGTTTATTAACTCATCAAATATAAATTGCAGTATGCATTATACGGTAAAATAAATATGTCAAAATTGAAAATACATATTATAATTGTGTACTAACTCTTATTTTATTTAACAATTTAATAAATTCCTGAAATCACTTGATTTATATGAATATACTACCTAATATTCGTTATTCACTATTTTACTAGTTAAATATTTAGTAGTCCCGACGTATAATTTACTGGTTATCTAATATTTTAATATCATTTTTATATGCAATAAAATATTTTGATTAACATTTTTATATTTGCATTTATACAAATTTAACTATATTGTAATTTTTCTATTCTATCTGTGTTTTTTATTTATTATACGTACTCATATTTTCTCATTCTGTTTCGCCCCTAGTATCATCTTATTTATTTTTCATGTTCTTTTTCTCATTCCATATCTCTAAATCAACTTAATATTATAAGCTTGGTGCATATATTTATATTTATAATAGTTATGTATATTAAAACAACGGATGTTCTTCTTCTAGTAAGGATTATACACAGAACCTATACAAATCATATGTCGTATAACATAGTGTCCAATACAATAATATTCGTTATTATGCAAACATAGATAATATAAAAAAACAAGATGGTAAAATTATGAAAACACACTAAAACGATTTCTTATAATTTTAACCCTTACAATATTACAACTCTTTCAAAAATATTTAATGCAATTTTTTAAATTAACGATGGGGTAGGTACTATATAATATTATTTAAACTATGTATTTATTATTAAATTACATGACCAATATTTGTATATTATATGGGCATATAAACTATTAGACTTAAACATATT